TGCATTTATTTGATCCAAAGCTAAAACTTTGAAATATTTTTACTATTTAAAATAACTGCTTTCTATTTGAATATATTTTAAAATGCAATTTATTGCTGTAATCAAAGTTGAATTTTCAGCATCATTACTCCAGTCTTCAGTGTCACATGATCCAGAAATCATTCTAATATGCTGATTATCAATATTTAAAACAGTTGAGTAAATTTTTTCAGGATTCTGTGATGAATAGAAAGATACAAAGATCAGCAGTTATATGAAATAAAAAGCTTTTGTAACATTATACACCATTCCATTCAAAAGCTTGGAGTCACTATGAAATTATAGAAATTAATACTTTTATTTAGCAAGAATGAAGATAAAGACATTTATAATGTTACAAAATTGATCAAAAGGGATGATAAAGACATTTATAATGTTACAAAATATTTCTATTTCAGACAGGGGCGCGGGAAGATGTTTTCGGTTGGGGGTGCTCTGTGTTTGTCTGTGTTGGGTGAAAGGGGGGCGGGGGTCACCTCATTTGACAACTCCACAAAGCACTACAAGTGCGTCGATATGAACACTCGTTTAAGTGGCATACACACTGGGAAATTTAACTGCATATCAATTTGTCTCCGTGCTCGTGCTGGAGCTGGTTCACTTACATCGGTGCTCGTGCTGGGGCCGATTTTGTAAAGTTTTTGCTGGGATGGGCATTTTAAAAAATCTGAAATTCTCTTTTGCACCTTTATCTCCTTGTATTAAAGTTAATCTTGTTTGCATTCTGTATAGTTCATGTCTGATACCACACGCCAGCGTCACGTGTTCATGAGGATTAGGCTAATCATCCCATATAGAAAACATCACAAGTAAAATTAATCATGTTTATAAAGATAAATATTGGTTTATTATAGCCCACTTACAATTTACATTTCAGAGATCATTACAAACAAATTATTAAATGCTAAAACTGAATACATTTAAATTAACAAACTTGGCGTTGCATTTGCAACCATGTGAAAACATGTTTTCAACATAATAATAAATGTTTTTTGAGCAGCAAATCAGAATATTAGAATGATTTCTGAAGGGTCATGTGACTTGAGTAATGATGCTTAAAAAAATGAGCTTTGAAATCACAGGAATAAATTACATTTTAAAGGGGTCATATGATGCGATTTCAATTTTTCCATTCTCTTTGAAGTGTTACAAGCTCTTGGTGCATAAAGAAGATCTGTAAAGTTGCTAAGACTAAAGACTCAAATCCAAAGAGATATTCTTTATAAAAGTTAAGAGTCAGTCACACCTACCTAAAACGGCTCGTTCTAACACGCCCCCACATATCTAAATCACTATGTGGGAAGATCATTGCTCCGGCCTTACAGGGCATCATCACAATATGGTAAGGGGCGTAACATTTCCGTCACACGCTTGAGGTATTTGGCCAATCACAACGCAGTGGATAGCTGGCCAATCAGAGCACTCCTCGCCTTTTCAGACTGATGAGCTTTGTAAAAATCGATGCGTTTCAGAAAGGCGGGGCATAGAGGAGAAACAATAATGCACAGTATGTGGAAAATAATGTGTTTTTTTAACCTTAAACCGCATAAACACATTTCATTACACCAAATACACAAAATAATGTTTTTTTTAGAAGCATCATATGACCCCTTTAAAATATTTCCTAATAGAAAACAGTTATTTTAAATAGTAAAAAATATTTAGGATCAAATAAATGCAGGCTTGGTGAGCAGAAGATAATTCTTTTAAAAACATAAAAAAATCTTACTGTTCAAAAACTTTTGACTGGTATGTTAGCCCATAGTTTGAAGTTAAAGATATTAATAATTAATAAGGTGAGTCTGAGATGTTTATTTGACATTGATTTCACATTTCTTGTTTGTATGAAGGCTAAATACAAATAAAAGGTGAACATTAATTTATTTGTGCCACTTTTTCTCAAAAAAATTAAATAGTTTTATAGGAAGAGGTGTCATAGATTTGGCAAATTAATTTTACGGGAAACCTCACCCGGCCCGGACACGGAAAGGATTGACAGATTGATAGCTCTTTCTCGATTCTGTGGGTGGTGGTGCATGGCCGTTCTTAGTTGGTGGAGTGATTTGTCTGGTTCATTCCAATAACAAACGAGACTCCGGCTTGTTAAATAGTTACGCAGCCCCGTGCGGTCGGCGTTCAACTTTTTAGAGGGACAAGTGGCGTTCAGCCACGCGAGATGGAGCAATAACAGGTCTGTGATGCCCTTAGATGTCCGGGGCTGCATGCGCGCCACAATGGGCGGATCAGCGTGTGTCTACTCTGCGCCGAGAGGCACGGGTAACCCGCTGAATCCCGCTCGTGATCGGGACTGGGGATTGAAACTATTTCCCATCAACGAGGAATTCCCAGTAAGCGCGGGTCATAAGCTCGCGTTGATTAAGTCCCTGCCCTTTGTACACACCGCCCGTCGCTACTACCGATTGGATGGTTTAGTGAGGTCCTCGGATCGGCCCCGCCGGGGCTCCTTGCAGGCCCTGGCGGAGCGCCGAGAAGACGATCAAACTTGACTATCGGGAGAAAGTAAAAGTCGTAACAAGGTTACCCGTATAGTTTGTAGGTAAAGACATCTGTTGTGGGAGTTCTTGGCAGTTTTTAATAAGGCTTTTTTTAAGTCAAGTCAAGTCACCTTTATTTATATAGCACTTTTAACAATACAGATTGTGTCAAAGCAACTGAACAGCATTAATTAGGAAAATAGTGTGTCAATAATGCAAAACGACAATCGTAAACACTAATTTTTCAGTTAAAAACGGTTCATCATTGAATTCAGTGATGTCATCATCCAGCTCAGTTCAGTTTAAATAGTATCTTTGCAATCATTTGCAATCAAGTCAACGATATTGCTGGAAATGAAGTGTCCCCAACTAAGCAAGCCAGAGGCGACATATGAACGCTATTTTTTTAATAGCGTTCATATCAATATCGGAATTATATCGTATCGACCGAAATTAAGAAATATATCGTGATATAAATTTTGCCCATTTCGTCCAGCCCTATAGGATATGTTCCAAAACCAAGTAAACTCCCAAAATCAGAAGCAATTAAGGGATCATATGCTCTGGAAGATCCAAAAGATACCTTGTTTTGGACAACATCCCATTTGCTAAGAAAAGCTTAGCAAAAAAAAAATTAATAAATAAAGAAGGTTAAACTCAATTGAAAATGAACTACATTTACTCAATATTTGCATGCTATTTATCTTTATACATATTACAGTATCACTTTTTTATTTGGAAATGTGTCACTTATAAGGTTCTATTTTAGTTAGGACAACTCACTTTTGCAGAGAAATGTTGTAGCAAATATTAAAATTCTATATATACTATAACTAAATACCATATACAGTACGATACTGCATTCTATCCAGATGAACAGATCACCAAACTTACTATAATTCAATTCAATTGAATTCCACATTCCCCTCAGTCCTCATCTTAAACACCATGCTTAATGTGAAATACTATTGGTTTAATGCCTGAAGTAAATTAATAACTGATGCTTTTGGGCTTTGTAAAAGCACTCCAGAGAGAGCGAGCAGCCAGCACCAGGCCAAGAGTGGAGCGCTTAAGGTTAAAAAGCCTATTTAAATTTCAGAGTGTTTTGCTCCATTCCTTTTTACGCACTTCTCCATGAAGTCATGCCACGGAGGGCGAGTTACGGTGTGAGACACTCTGGGAGCTCTGCCTAGAAGCATACAGCAGGTAATCAGACTTCTAAACACTGAACAAACTCATCGTTCTCTAGCAGAAAAGTACTTCAACCATTCAGCACCATTATGCAAGCTTTTATAGATGCAGTACAAGTATAACATAACTTTCACTTTAAAGGAATATCCTGTGTTCAGCACAAATTAAGCTGGCTTGGGTCCGCTGTCTGTATAAAGCACAGCTACCAAAGTCACTTTCAAAACAAACAGATTTCTATTGGTCAACATGGCAAAATTTTGCTGCGAAATCTGCATAAGAAAACTTTTCGCCCTTATGCCAAAATTCTGATTGCATATATTCCTATTAAAATAAATGGGTATGTCTGTGAAAATCCACTGGAACACGGTAAATGTGACCTCACCTTAATGTTGATTACCACAAAAATTATTTTGATCCAACCCTTGTTTTCCCTTTAAAAAAAATAAAGGTTACAGTGAGGCGTTTAAAATAGAAGTGAAAGGTTCAAATTTTTTAAAATCAGAAATGAAGCTTGTAAATGTTTTCATTCATTCTTCTTGTGTAATCTGTAAATCTGTAGACAACTTTTAAATTAATTTTAGTTTTAGTTTAGTGTTTGTGTTGCTATGGCAACAAATTTGTAAAATTAGATATAACTTTACACACAGAAAGGTTAGTAAAGTGGTTAAATTCATGTTAACACACATTTATGTCTTGTGGCTATACTGTTGAAAGAGTGTGAGTATTTTAATGTTTACAGATTGGCCCCATTCACTTTCATTGAATGTAACCAAGATTTTTGCTTTTTTAAAGAAAAGGAGGGACAACTGGAAATTAATAACAGTTGGTTCTGCATATTAAAATGGTATACGAGAAAGTATTTTAACATAAAATCACATACTTCAGCTTTAACTGAATGAGAACCATAGAGGTAAACCATACTCAAAGATGAAGAATAATGTATTCTTGCACAGCTTAGTATGTTGTATAGGCGCACATCTAACATTTTGGACTCAACAGATATATAGAATAAGGGATTAGCAATTCACAATACACCGCATATGCACCATTAAGGGTATTTGCATACACAATGCCAGCCCAATATAGATGAGAATTGATGTCAGTTTTCTCAGCGTCCGTGTAAACAAAAGCATCACATGTCAGTCCTGTTATGAAGTGCATGTATATAGTCATGGCAGGATAAATATAGATGTAAACTGGGTATGTAGACCGCTGGTGTCAGCTGTGAAAGGAGAAACACAGCCAGGACTTGTGGAGTTTGAGATTGAAGGCTACCTTGTTAGTCACAGTGTTGATTGCCAGCGTTGGAGAGGCACTTCCAGAGATGATGCAGTCCATTCCCAAGTTATCTGATTCCAGGCTGTACGGCGTGGACGCCTGCAGGAAAACAAAAAAGATATACTCAGCCAACCAGGATGGAGATGATGAGCGAAGTGAAATGACTTTGATTTCTATTCAAAAGCATTACTCTGGTGCAAGAAACGTAAAAGCATACGCAGTGAGCATCTATCAACAAAAGAGCAACACATTTTATTTAGGTCAAAATTGGAGGCATTCTGGGAAAGAGATGAGCAGGAGAGAGGAACGGCTCCCTGTGCTCTGTCTGCTCTTGCTAGGGTAAAAGATAACTTCAGCACGCCTGTCTCCCAAAACTGCTTATTATAAGAGGATTGCCTGGCAACAATGCGATTTTTAATTTGTGATAAACATAAATGAGATTTTGCTAAGTCACAATTTTTAATGTCAAAGAATTTCTTAAACGAGACAGCAGGAGGATGAGCGAGAAACAGAGAGTGTGTGCATAATGAAGTATACTCTTAATAGTGCAGACTTGGCACAGACAGAACTCCCACTTATTTTTGCATGCAGGGCCAGGCTGAGAGAGAATGGATCTAATTGGAGGTTTTTGATGTGAGTGAAGTGAGTGTCAGTATGAAAAATGTTTGTGTGTGGCCTGAGGGCAGAGCTGTGCCGAGAGAATGATACACTCACTGGAGTCTGGAGTGTGGCAATTATAAATGACACCAGCCTAACTGGCTGACCATACAGAAGAAAACACATGCCACCAACTCAACACATTAGGTCAATCAGGCTTATATATGATGTAGTTCGATTAGAATGCAGTTTGATTTTCAAGACATGGGGCAAAAAATGCCCCTCTATGGGTTTTAGTTTTATATTTATATCATATGATACAATTAAGCAACATCACACTAGCAAGCGTGCTGTTTTTCCTGAATATCAGCACGACCGCAAATGTGATCACTGTTATGTGAATTTATTGATAATGTACATCTGACATAAAAGATGATGCATAAATCTAATACTGCTACAAAAAAATCCTCTTATAAAGGTACAAATGTCCCTGGAAATCAAGTTAAAGGGACAAACATTTCCCCTTAATGGAAAAGTTAATTTCTGCCACTGCTGTGAACTAAACATGCACAGAATATGAGGGATATAAAACAACAAAATCCCTGGAAACACAGTTATATTTTGACAATATCACACAAGAAAATTCTGTCATCGTTTACTCACCCTCATATCATGCAAAATCTGTATGACTTGTGTGAAACTCAAAAGATCAAGTTTAGGTGTCCGTTGCTAAAACAGCTAGTTCAACAACCCTCTACGCACACCTTGGCAATATAATCACCATTGGCTAAAACTTTTTTTACTTTATTTTAACAGTTTTACAAATGAGGACATCCACAAATTGAGGTTTTTGCCGATTTTGTCAGGCTTTGCTCACTTTTGGGTACAAATTAGTCCCCAAAATATGGTTAAGTAGGTACACACACACACACACACACACACATGATTCCACCCAATCAGCTTATCTTTGTAAAATGGAGCAACTTCTTAAATAACTGAATGCGCACTCTTAACTTCAGCCAATCAAGCATTTTATTATGATATTATGATAATTAAGCACTATTTAATGATAGAACTAGTGATTAGAACTAAAACTTGGTAACCATGAATGAATGCATATTTGTCATTTTAACTGAACTTAGTGGTGGTGTTTAAGATATTGTTGGTCATGGGTAATAGTAATTATTATTAAAAGATACTACTACTACTATTATTATCTGCTGAGTTCATGAATATTAATCACGTTGTCAGTGTTAGCTCGAACTGATTTGCTGAAATCAAAACAGGGACGGTAATAGATGAGCGCCAGCCAACAAGAGCTGTTCGCGCATTAGCTCCGCCCACTGCCGAGAAACCGGCATATCTTCTGCTTGTTCTTAAAAGCGGAATAATTCTAAATAAACTGTTATTTTGACAGGAAAATACAACAAAGAATGTGGTTTACATGTAGCGCGTCGATTCAGCGTGGTATGCAAGACTCTCGCTCTCTCTCTTTACATGTGTGAGAGAAACAGCGCTATCAGTAAAGCGACGGCGAGTCGTGCGCCTTCACACTAGTTTACGGTACGTCAAATACAGGTGCGCTGCGTGCTACATACTGCGCATCCATTGAGTACATGACATGATCCATTGAGCGCAGATCTAAATAGTACAGATCGCTTGACGGAGAGCGAAACTCTCAAGCGCTCAGTCAGCGTGTTTATCGAGTGAAAATCTGTGTTGAACGCCTCTCACACACATACTGGCATGTAAAATCTAAGAATTCATTAGCCAATGGCTAATGTTAGACATTATTTAGTCGCCCAGAGTAAGATTTAGTCACATTTGCGAGTGATTTACTCGCAATGTAGAGGGTTGTTCAAGCTAACAATGTTTTTCCCATTGTGCTTGTGACTGCGATTTAGCAGTCTGATGCCCTGATAAATAACATGCTTCTTCACAAATGCTCTTTTCATCTATATGATTTCACGTCATGGTTATATGTCTACATGTCTTCAATCCCTTGCTCTCACTATGGCTGAACTCTTTCAGTTCACCTGCCTCCGATCCACAACGCAGGGTTGGACAAAATGATGCAAGATGCCTCTGAGCCAGGTCAACCTCGGAGGCCAGCGTCGAGTGCAGCTGAGTTGTATATTCTGGTGATCGGTGCTCATAAATAATGGAAGGAAAAAGCTCTGGCTGAAAATAACCGGCGCAGAAACTCTGCATTAATTGATGTTTGCTAAAAAATGACTGCAGAATGCATCGTATGTAAAGGCTGCCTGGGGCACAGTTTATTAATAAGCTGGACCCCCTCTACAAGATAAACTGAGCCACACTGAGTGAGACAGCTATATAAAAAGATATGAGCGCGCAATCAGCAAACATGTGCACGGCACGACTGTAAAGCACCAACATAAAACAAAGCCAGTGTTCTCGAATCAGGAAATATTCAGTCCTGTCTCATTATTTTCTATCAACACACCAAGCCCATGGCTGTCACATATTTCTGGCCTTGTAAAAAAGCAAAAACTCAACAAAGGCAGCATCATGCTAACTGACTGCAAGCTAATGCCGATGAAAAAAGAGAGACTTGGGCAATAACTTTATTTTGGAAAAAAGCTTAACAAAAGTTCATACTATATAAACAGTCAATCTTATGTGTAGTTGCTTGGTTGGTTTTGTTTGTTGCTCTTTTCAAAAGATAAAAAACGTGCAATGAGCCATCAACACACGTACGCTGAAGAAATTATGTGGTTTTTTGCTGACCGTTCAAGTTTGGAAAGATGAACTTGAGTACTAAAGGCTTACATTTTCTCCCCGTAATCCTTTTTCCTTTAAAAATCAGTTTTTACAGCAGGGACCCATAAGTGATCCTCACTACATACTAAAACAACATTTATATATATATATATACACACACACACGTATATATATATATATATTTTTTTATTGATAAAAAAAATCCTTAGTCGAGGGCAGCCCTAGTTTTCATAGGTTATTTCCTTGAGTTGACAATTTAAATGTGCTACTATTTTGCTCATTGCGCCCTCCTGTGGCCTCGGGAGACAAGACAAAAGTTTCCTTACAACCTATTTAATCTGCATATAAAACATTAGAAATGAGATGCGTTTAATTTTAATTTTGTGCTTGATTGTGAAAACAAAAAATATTTGTTGTATGTCTCAATAAATTGGGTTAATTTAAAAATACAGTGGCTAGATTAAAAAAAAATTATTCTATTGCTCTGTTTTAAAAAAGGTTATAAAAAATGTCAATAATTATCGATACCGAACGATATGAAACATTATATCGTTGATACATTTTTTAGCTATATCGCCCAGCCCTAATATATATATATATATATATTTGTAAAATATATGTTAAAATAAACATGAAAGGTACACATTCATTCGTGAATGTGTATCTTTAAGTACACTCACGTAACATATGATCAGAAAGCGAAGTGGATGTGAATTCAGTGACAATTCTGATAGATATGAGCAAGAATGATTTAAACCTGCTAACTTGCAAGATTTTTTTGAGTGCCTCACTAAAACTCGGAATTATTTCAGTTTTAATATCATCACACTCAACTGAAACGGCAAACTCTTTGGTAAAACAATTTCTATTTCCATGACAGTGTAAATCAATGGTTCATCGGAACAGATTTGAAGAAATTTAGCATTACATCACTTTCTCACCAATGGATCCTCTGCAGTGAATGGGTGCCATCAGAATGAGAGTCCAATAAAATAAAAACATGACAATAATCCACAAGTAACCCACACGCCTCCAGTGAAGCAAAAAGCTGTGTGTAATAAACATATCCTTTAAGACGTTTTTAACTTCAAACTTTTAACTTCACAAGACATTAATCGATAGACTGGGGTCGTGTGGTTTACTTGTGGATTATTGTGATGCGCCACCCATTCACTGCAGAGGATCTACTGGTGAGCAAGTGATGTAATGTATTTCTCCAAATCTGTTCAGATGAAGAAATAAACCCATTTGGATTGCTCAAGACTGAGTAAGTTTTCAGTAAATTTTCTTTTTTGGGTGAACTATTCCTTAATTTTTTTTTTAAATAAGAGAAAATAAAAACTTAAATCAACTTAAAATCAAGACATTTCTTGTAATTCAACCCTTCAACAACTGTTTTTTTCTTTGATAAACCTCGATATATGTAGCCTTTCACTAGACCTGAAAATTTTAATTTTATATTGATTTTTCAGGCATTTTTGTATAGATTTTTCTAGTTATGCAAAGCTCTTAAATATATTTATTGGTCGAAAATTGTAAAAAAAAATATTATTGTGGACAATGGGGACCATAACATTACTGTGCTGGAAATACTGTCATAATCACAGTAGCGACTGAACAGTAATCTGTGGTGTTCAAGCAACCACAGCATAAAGAGAAGTGATGGAGCAAATCAGTGACATTGAGCTTGAACTGGGAGAGTGAGACACTCACTGTTTTCTGCTTTTTGATCACTCCCAGATTTGAAGTAATGAGCTGAGTTTGGCCTGAGAAAGTCTGGATGTCTGAAAACCGACCACCAGGGGGTCTCGGAGCACACACATAAACACAAATGGTCGCACACACACATACAAACTTTCACTCACCCGCTCTCCAGACCGTGGCCTCTTCTTGGGTCGTGTGGGCAGCGTGTCCTCTTTTGGATTTGTGTCGATTGCCCAGTACGAACCCTTAAACAGGATGAGAACGAATATTAGTCCCTAAGCAAGTCATCATATTCTAAAATAGTGGTCAGCTTAAAGCCATTCAATAAAACTTTGATTAAAAAAATCAGCAGGGTTTCCAAGAGAGAAACTTATGTTTCTGTTCAGTATCAGATACTGGGCGCATTCGCCATCAAACACATACAACTTTTAGTTCATCAAAGTTTCAGCGAGCTCATTTGTAAGCCCGTCACGTCGGGAGGACATTCACGGAGCTATATGTCGAGGTGAGAAGAAGTTGGGTCTTTTGCTACAGCCGTTTCTTGCACTCTCTCGCTTCGCATTTCTCCTGAGCCCTGGCAGAATCTGGTAAAATGTTAAGCCCCTCCTGAAGCCCCTCTTCCTCAGCTGCAGGTTTATCGATTGCTCCTGTTCAGGGCTGGACACAGAGGTGTTGGATTTCTGGTCAGGTCTGAGCTCTGATAATCAGGCAGAAAATAGCACACCTTGGTTTGGGGCTGCTGGTATCCAAGCACCCAAGACCCTGGCTGAATAATTTATCTTTGCATTCTTCCGGTTTAATTTATTTTTCAATAGTGCTGCTCTTCCCAGAAGCTAAAGGCAACTCTGGCCACGAAGTTAGACAAAAAGAAATTAACCTCCAGGCTTGGGTTTTATTTTAAAATATTTCATATTATATGGGATAAGATCTCAATTGTCCAGAGAGGGTGTGATCAAGACCTTTAAAATTACTTGTGCACAGCTCGTGTGCGTTGCACCTAAGCAAGGAGAATAATTGAAAATCGCCAAAGGATTTGTCTAGACAGAACGCTTCAGGATCCTCAAACGTTTGGCCTCCGAAGACATATTGACAAAATGATGTAAATTTCTGAATTTAAACAGCAATACAGCACAGGTTACTAGCCACGGAAATGCAATGAGCAAAGCTCCAGTACCCAAACAGTTTTTTGCAGCCTACCTACCTTAAGAAAATAACTCATTATCCCTGTTTTAATACTGTTACAGCCATTTGTTACCCTAAGTGTGATGACAGCTCCAAAATAATCTAACCAATCGCAAAGTTCACAGCATTACGCCTTGCTTTAATATGCCATTTTTTGGCCTTGGAAGCACTGAGCCTGAAGAAAGGATGTGTCATAATTAACATTAATCAAATGGTAAACTTGGCATTCAAATTTTTTAATTTATGAATGCTTATTACTTTGTAGAATTCAACCAGTTAGTCATAATAGTCATTATTTAATCATCATAACTTTTAATAAGAGCCTCATCTAATTTTACAATTATAAGGACATTTTTAAAAAGGAGTGTGTGTGTGTGTGTGTATACATATATGCATATGTGTATATATTAATTTTTAATAAATATAATCATATACACACATGTAAATCCTCATACTAAATTAAACAATGAATGTATTTATGTGATTAATGTTCCCTAATGCACTGATCTCTATAGAGTGAAGCATCAAGCTACAGCATTACCCACAATCACTCAGATCAAACACTGTAACGTGATGCTTAAAATTGTAACAGTTTTAACTTGCCACAGATTACCCGGGAATATGCCTGACGTATCATTAAGAGAGTGTTGCGACATGTGCTGCATGTCAAAAGCATATCATGACATTCAGAGAATAAATCATCATATTGTACACTAGGGCTGTAAAAAAAAACAAAAAAAACGTTGCATTCGAATTTTAGGTGTGCATTATGCCGAGTTCACACTGCACAATTTTCAAACTCATCGGATCGCCGTTGTTTTCACACTGCGTGACTATCTGGGGTAGCATTCAGTAGGGATGCTCCGATCCGCCTTTTTAGCTTCCGATACCGATTCCGATACCTAGGGTTCAGTATTGGCCGATACCCGATACCGATCTGATACCAGTGAAGTTTTTTCCCTTATTTAAATAAATGTAGAATTTATATATCTCCGTGTGTGGAACTGATAATCATTCTTTCACAATCTACTAGCTACAGACTACTTCATGATAAAGAAAAATAAAATAAACAAATATGAAAAAAATATAGGCTTATGTATATTTATAATCTATGACAAAAATGTATCAAACTAGGTTAGTGGATAATTCGGCAGCAAAAGTTATTCTAGAAAAATCAGTGCACAATAATTTTAGAAATACAAACATTTAGTGAAAAACAATATTTTGTGGGGAACAAATAAAAGTGCTAAATATGGTAAAATGTTACACATTGCTATTTGTATTATAAAATCCATTCATTAAAAACATTCATGAATGTATTTATATATAAGTATATACTATACAATT